ACCCTAATCCTTAAGCCTTGAAACACTGAAATCCTGCACTCCAAATACTTTCAACTTTTATCAGAACCCCCCAAACCGCCCCGATTCAAGGTCCGAAGCCACCAATCCCGAAAGCATCAAAGCAGTTTGGGAGTATGTGGCTATAGTACAGTTATCGAGGGACTTTGAAGGGATTTCACTCCGTGCTGCTCAGACCTCTGTAGTAGGATTAAAATTCACAATGCGAAGTATACTTTTTACGTATACCTTGAGTTTGTACTATGACTCTGAGATGAATTAAACATCATGCCTTTCGGGTAGGCTGTAGCAACCAGAGGAAGCCTTCCTCTCCGCCGGGGCTCTGTCTCCGCGCCCTCTTTGGTCAGCTTTTCGGCAAGCAGGTGGAGCTCTGGCACCGTGAAGCCAGAGCTACGCCTCTGAGTTTGGAGCAAATTGGGTTAGAGGTTTTTAAGGGCTTAAGGGGTTTAGGGTTTGGGGTTTAGGGCTTACTGCCAAGAAGAGGTCTGGGCTTAGGAAACGGCTTAGGATCTCAACGGTCGAGGGCTGCAGAGAAGTTCCCAGAGTCTCCGAACGTTGCAGCACCGGTTGTTACCTGATTTTGCCCGGATCTCTCGATCTTATTGTTGCATGAAGATGTTATGCTTAGTAGGATGAATGCGAGTACTGTTATTCTTATCTTCACTATTAACTGCTCAGACATATATTGACAGGCTTTCGTACTTTGCGTATCAAAAGTTAGAGGCGGTGTTGCAGCACATTGTTGTACGAAGGCCGGGTGTTCAACATCCATTCTCGGCATCTTACAGACCAGGGCTGGGTCTGTTTAATCTGAACTGTTCGAGGGTATAAGTTGCCAGATATAGCTGGATTCCCCGATTGAACTCGCCACGACAGTCGCAATGCCAATTGCTCGTGTCGTCAATCTGCACATGTCGCCTGTGCTTGTTGAAAGAACCCCTTGCTACCGGCACCTGGCACATGCAACAGAGACATGGAGGAAGTGCGATTTGTAGCGCGGTATCATACGGTATCAGCCCAAACCTGACTAACCCCAAACCCAACAGCGAAATCGTTTTAAAAGTCATGACCCGAAAAAGCACTGCTTTCACATCATCATGCTTTGCATGAGTTACCTTGCATAACCTGCCATATATGCTGACTCATGGACAAAAGAGCTGAGTCAGTCATACAGGAGGCAAAGTCATGCTAGAATATGCCAGGATTGCTAGGAAATCCAGTCCGCAATAGACGAAGATACACACGAACTACAAATTGCCCGCTGTGTGCCAATGCCTCCGATCTAGTTTAACCCCCCTTGCCTCGCACCAACCTCTTCGCCGCCTCGATAGTTTCGGGAGAAAAGACTTGCTTCAGCCAGGAGTCTTGTGATCTCTGCACTTCTCTCAACTTGCAGAAGGACAGCGAGGGATGCGGGCGGAGCTTTGAAGCCTAAACTCAAAGGCCAAGTTCGCTAGACTGCAGGGTTGGTTCATGACGAGTCGACAGCCAGAACTAGCAACTAGTGAGTGGGCTCTAAGCGGTATGGCTTCTTTAAGAGTCTCTGGCTCCAGAGTAGGACACACCTCTTGAACGGAACTGAAGCGGCCGGCTACCTGGAGCAAAAAGACTGTATCTCTCCCTCTCTCCCTCTCTCTCTCGCTCGCTCTCTGTCTTTCATTGTCTTTCTTGATCCGGCTAGATCAGTCATCTGCGGCGCATCAAAAACGCTTAAATACTCCGGCCTATGTGCAGCACAGCCGTCTCACCGAAGGTAATGGCGTATCCTGCAGGATGCGGGCGGCACAAAGATGAACCAGTTTCACTTCCAGACATTTCCAGACTAAAACCCCCATACTCCAAGCCCCGAAATCCTACATAGGAAATTGGGGAAATTGAAAAATGTTCTCCGAACGCAAATTCCCTAAAACCCCTAAACCCTAAAGTGACCCTCAACAACAGCCAAGCAGCGAGACACGGGAGACACTTCCACGGCCGCCGCTGCGAGCGCAGGACGCTTTACACCGGCCTGAACCCCGAGCTTTCCCGGCCCTTAGCTTGGGGCTTTAGGGCCCAGTTGAGCGTGCAGGGCTATTAGGGGGTTTAAGGTTTAGGGCATTTAGGGTTTAGTTTTTAGGGAGTGGTTTGGGGGTTTAGGGTTTAGGGCTTTTAGGGTTTAGCCTTTAAAGCTTGGAGGTTTAGGAGTTTAGGGTTTAGGGCTCTTAGGGTTTAGCTTTTAGGGTTTGGGGATTTAGGGGTTAAGGGTTTAGGGCTTTTAGAGTTTGGGGGTTTAGGGGTGAGGGTTTAGGGCGTTTAGGGTTTAGCCTTTAGGGTTTGGGGGTTTAGGGGTTTAGAGCTTTTAGGGTTTAGGGTTTGTAATGTAGAGCTTAGGATTTCTGTTCTGGAGCTTAAAGGGATATAGTGTGGGGCTGATGCGTAAGTTAGTGAGATCAAGATATATCAACCAGGCGCCGCAAGCATATTCAGCTGCCCGGATCTCGCATTCAAAAGCTTAGGATCTGGGATTTAGATCTCATGGTCTCATGGTGAGTTCGACGGACGGTATTGTACTCCACAAGCCGTGCCCTGGCACTGGATCTCTGCATCCGAGCATCGCGCTCGGATGCAGCGTGTCCCGAGGAACGCTGCCAACGCAACACTTTCGCAACCTCCGGCGGTCCCGAATTTCGAGCGTACCCATAGGCCCCTAAGTAGTTCCTTTTGGGGACTACCTTATAGGATTCTAGGCTGCTGAGGTCACTTAAGACTTTGGCCATTGGGTGGTGTAACACTCTCGCATACCATAAATGTTTAAGGGTATACCCTCTAAGAACAATATCAAAAGTTATTGGGGCCCCTCCAACACTTACAAGAAATTCGAATCCATTTTGCCGGCTCTGGGAAGAGTAATTAAGGCTGAGGCTGAAGTGTGGCGACCCCAGCGGCCCCAAAGGCCCAGAAATCCCAAACGGACTCACACCAACAACAAACACCCTTAACCCCATAAACCCTAAACCCTATTATATGACCTCCCAATTCCCAAGCAGACCTGGTGGGCCATGCTCGCGCCGGGCTGCTCTAAAGCGCCGGTGGGGGAGCCGCTGGAAATGGCTCTTGCGGTTTGTTTTAGGGTTTGGGGTTTGGGTTTGGTTTTTCAATGCAAGGTACGGAAGGAATGCACAGTGGCAAGACCAGCTCCAGCAAACAGCCGAACTTGCCAACTAGGGCGCAAGCAAAGCAGCTACATCAGGATCAACTGCGACACACGGACAAGCAACAAGACAACACGATAGAAAGACAGAGAGCGTGTGCATGTGTGCATGTACGTGTGCAGAATCTTGCAGGCGTGGAGGCACATACTCAAGTATCTTGAGGCGCATGCGCCACGATCCTCGTCGAGCTGTACGCATAGCAACCTACTCGCCCACACGCCTAGATAATGGCACATTCCCATGGTGTTAATAATCCGCAGCTGACTAGGCTAGTATGCGCATGGACATATACATGCGCCCGTCTGTTGGCACGTTGCTGGTCGTCGTTTTCGCGCATCTTTGTGTGCGAGGCCCTGCATCAGCAGCACGATGCATGTCAGGCACAGCCGGCACAGCTGCTATTTCGCGAAACCACAAGTCCGAAACTTAACCGAAGACACTGGCAAGTTCAGGCCCCGAACATTCCACAAAGTCGGGGGCAGGCACGCTCCACGCCCTGACATGAAGTGGCGCTTTGCTGAAGTAAACAAACTCCGAGGTTCTAAGTTATAAGGGTTCTAAACTATAAATGTATCAGGAATAAGTATCTGTCTAGCCATCTATCCATCTAACGATCGATGTGTCCATCTATCTAGGATCTATGTCACTACCTACCTCTCTATCTATTTGACTCTCTATCGAGCCATCTATCTACCCGCCTGGCGAATCTAGTCTAGTCTGATCTAACTAAGTCGTGTGACAGCCGAATCCTACCCAAATCCTAGTCTGTCGCATCTATCTCTAGTCTACTCATCTCTATCAATGTCTATCTATGTATCTGTTTATCTGTCTACCTGCCGAACTTAGAGCTGTTAAGGCACCTATCTTCGGCCTGGGTGGAGGGATCATTGGCCTTTGGCAAGCTGCCTCAGGGTGGATTTAGGGGTTGGGATTTCGGGTGGGTTTCAGAGTTTAGGGTTGAGCTTAGGGCTTAAAGTTGGGGATTAAGGCTTACGGGGCCTGAAACAGTCGCCCACTGGACCAAGTGCTTGCAATACTCAGGAGGATTCTACAGTGCTTCATGCAAGGGCCTTCGTAATGATTTTGGTGGGCTGTTGTTTTTAAATCTAAAACCTTCTGCAATGGTTCTTAGGAGTACCATCGCTACTTAGTCTTCAGAATTGTGGTGAGTGATTCGTAAGAATAGGAACCGTCACCAGCATGCTGACACCCAACGACATGCCTTGCAGCAGCTGGATGGATACGGAGTTTTCGGACTCCTCGTCGTCCTGCAAAGCTGGGATGCAACAGGCCGGCGATTCACTGGGGCTCTGCACGCACAAGCTGTCCGACATCCAGGGCCGAATGCTTCATCATCCGTCGCAAACAGCACGATAGCATGGGGACTCATTTTTCTGCGCGCACAGCACTGTGGCAGTGGAAACGAAAGAGCATGTTTAAGAAGGTTGGTCTAAAGTTTTCACAGGTATACAAGTTCATGCGCGGCGATTGCTGGAGCGAACTGTTTCGGTTACTGCCGATACCATGTAATTGCTCGACACTTCTTACTTGCCATGCAAAGGCCTTCCTCATCTCCCGTGGCGTCCGCTGATCGAGAACGGAAGAAAGCAAACGACTGGGACTCAGGAGTGCTACATTCTAAGCTTCAACGCATGCAGGGGGTTGCTCAAACCCAGTCTCCTTTGTCGGGCTCCGTCTTCTGAAAACATTCCCAGTGAAGGTGGGTAAAAACCTTCCTGCTTGGCTCACGGGGAAATTTGCGAGCAACCCCCTCGTCATCCACAAGCCACATTATTCCTGGATTCCATCAGGATCCATCACTTGTAGCCGCTCATCTTTCAGCGCCGCCGGGGGAACTTGGCCCAGAGACCCGGGCCCCGCCTGGCCAGGTTGAGTTTCAAGCTGACATGTTGAGGGGCTCCTCATTGCGATATCACAGTGTCTGTATATAAAAATCAGTTTTGGGCCGTTTCGAGGGTTCAGGCAGGTCTGATGCATCGGGTTTTGGCGGCACTTTAGGCTCGAAGGCCCTAGTTGCTTGTTTGGGCTGCTGAAGTTTGGCCAACTTCGAATCCACCACAAAGCTATGCAATACCTTCGGATTTGAAGTTTGGAGATTGAGGTTTTTGTAAATTTAGTCGCTAAGCCCTAAAAAGATGGGTTGCGATCGCTTGGTCTCCTTGAGCTTGTCCTGGCTGGCTTTGTAGGGAAGCTGGCTCCATCGGGGGGAGCTCTGCATTCTAAGCTTGCAAAACCACGTCCGAATTTTAAGCCAAGGAGAGATCAAAAGATCACAAAAAGTATGCATGCATGTATGCATGCATGTATGTATGCATGTATGTGCGTATGTATCTACGTCACATACATACATATATATATATATATACACATACACATGCGTGTATGTATATATATATATGTATACATATTATATATATATATTCATTCCTGTGCATGTGTACTTGCTTATCTGTTTACTTGTTTTGTTTCTGCATGTATGCACAGGTAGATACACAAACACGGATTGAACCCGATGCCGGTAGACCCCAAGTAACTACGTGCAAAAGTGATTTCGAGCCCGCCAACTTGCGCAAACCTCAAGCCTACACAAAAAAGCCGGGATCAATGAAAGCTGTCCAAGCATCACGACCAAGTTGCTAAAGTTCACGTGGTGTTCGGGGCTCCGAAGTTGCTATAACCCGCAGCCCAAATCCTAAACCAAATAAGCCGCGAACCCCAAATCAAAGCCCTATACATGCAAAACCTTGAAACCACAAGTCGTAAACCTGTGGGCGGTTCTCGTAAAGGAACATATTCACGCTGACATAACAGTTAGGCAACTAGGCGAAAGTGCAGTAAACAATGTGCCGTACTGATCCTGGCAACTTCTAGCTGCCATTGCAGCCAAATTCTTCTAAACGCCCCGATCAGAAGAAGAAGAAGAACAACAACCCTTAAAAAGACCCCAAACAAACTCTGACAGCTCAATAAAAACCCCAGACCCTAAATCTGTTTTTATGCATCAGGACTTGTGCAACCCTATAAACCCTAGACCCTATACTCCGAGACACCACACCGGTATATCGCCTCCTGGGTCAGGGCCTTGACGAAGGGATACGCGGACTCCGTGCTCCCACGGATGCGCACCGCTTTGGCGCGCAGGGTTCCCGGCTTCTCCTTCGTCGCCTCGGCCCGACCTGAGGAGGCTTTCAATAGCAGCCCATAGGCTTCCATAGTAGTTCCTTTTTGGGCTTACCTTATAGGATCCTAAATATAAGCCACAAAAAGGAACTATAATGATACTATAATGGAGCCTATGGATATACATATAACATATTCATCGAATATAGTATGATGTAGCGGTATGGGGTGCTATAGTAGGGTAGGGAGGGCAAGTAGAACCCAAATATTGACTACTCACACTCACACTCAGCAGGTTTGAAACGCTTGGTGTAAGGATTCTGACGACTTGTTGTTGCCTTTGTTCTCGAGGGCGAGGTTGGGGTTTTCGGGGATGTCGGAGTCGTGGGATTCAGAGTTTGGGAGCGCGAAGGGTGCTATTTTTAAATAGCCCTTACTGGCTACCTGATCCTCAGAGCACTTAGGGGCTTTCAATGCTGACGTCTTAAGGTTCCTGGCCTGGGGCTTCAAGGTTCAAGGTTAGGCTTGGGGGCTCACACCCTTGAGATTCCGGAGGCTGCTGACCGCCGATGCACCAAACCGAGGTAAGTTGTCGTGCCGAAATCCTCAAGCCACAGCCCCAAAGCCTAAACGCCCCAAAAACTCCTCAAGTGCACGAACCCTGAAGCCCTTTCCTAGTACACCTTCAAAACAAAAGCCCGCCACAACGCGAAGGCCTCAGAGGCCCTATAAAGCCCCCTGAACAAACAGCAAATCCACTTTGTTGCAGTCTTCTAGTACACTTCAACTCTTGATACGGCACCCTATAGTTGGGGGAGCCCAAAGAATAATTCAGATTAATACACACATCGGCAGTTCTCTAAACCCTAAACTCTTATAAGCACAGGGACCCTGCAAGGGGACCCTCATTGAGAGAACTACCACAGAACCCCTAAACCCTTTTATGTTTATTTCCCAGACTCGGCAGATCAGCCGGAACCCTTAAACCGTAAACCTAAAACCCTAAACCCTAAGCCCTAAAACCCTAAACCCTAATTTAGAGAACTACATGCTGACTTCGCCCAGCGTCGGTCTGCGGGGATGCTTCCGCTGGGAAACTCTTGCCTCGGCGGGCCGAAGGCTTCTCGACTCACACACTCGCACAAGCAGGCATGGCAGGTACAGGTCCGAGCTTGCTACAGGCACATGATTGGCCAAGGCCCCACAGACCAAGAAGCAAACGCGAACCCATGGCTAAAACCACCAAGCAAGTAAAAACAATGTGGCCCGGCACTTATCACGTGGATCTCACATTGGAGGCCTTCAGCTACAAACTCTTCTGTTTCAATTTAGTCTATCTGGATCACTCACAACTACTCGGCAGCTGGATATTCATGAGCCACCAATCCAAGTCATGCACCACAGGGCTTTAGGGTTTTGGGGATGATTTAGTGTGTTGCAGTGTTAGGGTTTTAGGGTTTTGAGTGTTACGGCTTTAGGGTTTTAGGGATGTTTTCGGTGTTTGGGGGTTTGGGTTGTCTTACTTGTCCAGTATCCGAGGGGAACCAAAGAAGGAACCGTTGGGGCTGAAGCAGGAGTACAATACTGGAAAAAAGTTAAAGGCCACCTACGCAACTAGTAAGCTGCAGACTAAAAGCTCAAAGCTTCGGGTTATGGCGGGTTCGGAGGATTGGGGTTGCTGGAAAAGCAAAAGGACGGTCTTTCCGGGCTCTCGTTTGAGGAAACCCCACATTAAAAAAGTAAACAGGATCCATTACAATGGCCAATGTGCTTTTCTGCTCAGGCTCTAAAGGGGTTGGTGTTTTGAAGGTGAGGCTTCCCGATGGTTCGGGTCCAGGGTATGGGGCTCTACCAGGATTATCAAGCTTTTCCTGTTTCAATGAGAGTTCCGTCGATCAGGGTTAGAAAGGATCTAAGGGTTTGGGGGTTGCGCCTCGCACCGGAAAGACTTTTGAATCATGACACGGCGGAAAGGCGGATGTACAGTTCGCGATTTTAGGGCCTAGGGTTAAGGGATTTTGCGAAAGTACCACTATGCAGCGGGACACTTTCAAAGATCAAGGAGAAGACCAACATGAGAGCATAAAGTTCGTGACACTCCCATCATGAGAGCGTAAAGTTCGTGACACTCCCATCAAGGGATAACACGGCAGAGAACGAAAGCACAAATTGCGATGGCGCGGGCACAGCAGAAAATTTGAACGAACATTTCGTGATGCTTGGGCCATCTCTACCTCTTGGGACCTGTCAAGGGGTTTGGGCTTCAGGGACTCATGAGCCTTAAGACGTGTCGTGGCCCCAATGCCTGATACGAAACTCATCTCTGGACAAGGTTCAACGAAACTCGTCGGTCAATCCAACAAAACCAGTTCGAAGGAAGGCTCACTGAAGGCGAGCCGAGAGACATGACGGAGGCACAGCTTGCCACCAGCTCCTCTTTTCAGAAAGGTCTGAGGATTTTAATACGGGTTGATCTGTTAAGTTTTAAGGATGCAGGGCCACTCAAGAGTCTGATAGCAAGTGCTACTTGGCATGAACTGTCTATGCGCTCAGAGAGGTCACCAAACACACAGCAAGGGCTATAAGCTTGATTCTCTATAGCCGATTCGGACCCTGAGCAGCACTAACATGTCCAAAAAACCCTTGGATATTAATTATTCTAACCATGTGATTCCACAGGAGATGGCAAATATGATGTCTTGGGTAGCATGGGCAGCTGCGGGCCTCGTGCACCAGCGACAGCTCCGGTGACTGCTCCTGCAAAAGAAAGCTAAACCTGACCCCGCTAAACCCTAAGCCCTAAACCCTATAAGCCCTAAGCCCAAGCTCTAAACCCGCCTGCATTTCTGATCTGAAGTGAGTAGAGTGTAGGGATCTCTAACTTCTGCATTAGTGACCGCAGTTGGGAGAGTAGGTTTTCCAAGAAGCAACGAGGCAATATGTTTAGCTGTTTAGCAGTCCTACATTCAACCCTCCTGCAGCGAGTACAGGCAATTAGACACGCTCCAAGCCCCAAGCCGCGAACCTCGACAGTTCTAGATTCTAACCGTCCACCCAGAGACTCCAAAGCCCTTTTGCTTCGGAGAACCGTTGAGCTATATTTGACTGGTATGTGGGCATTCGGGAGTCTTAGCAAGCAAGGCGCGCTGAATTGTGCGATCTTGAAGTGTCTAAATCCATCAACCCGATACCCCACAAGGCTTCGGGTTTTGGGATTAGGGGGATGCTGGGCAGCCATTCACCTCGTACCCTTGCTTCACATTTTTGCCGAGCTGTGACTCCGACACCTCTGTCTTTACTTGCAAGCCACCTGAATCTAAACACCCTCCATGATCCATGTCTTTGCTTGAGTTGTGTTGTCTCTCCGTCTTTCTCCCCATCACCTCATGACCCCCAGTGCTCCTATCCTAGCTGCTAAACCCTAGATCCTAATCCCTAAAACCCCAAATCCTAAAACCCTAAACCCTTTTTGCAACAGGTGGAAACCCTAAACCCTAAATCCTAAACCCCAAAACCCCTAAAACGTAATTCGCTGCCGGCACTCGAAACTCTGGGTCGGCAACGTGGTCCTGCTGAAGTACGTGCTCGAACTCCGGGCCCAGCTGAGCGATCTGCCACAACAGGTTTTGCTCTAGGACTCTGGGGTTCGCAAATGAAGTCAGGAATCCTTTCTGAACCAGGAGCCCAAAATCCTGAGCCCTAAAAACCCTATAACCTGACCGACAAGACTGTAAGAGTTCAGGGGAGGGTGGGGTGTTGTGGCTCCTGCGTCCTGTGCCCAGGAATCCATCCCCCAGACCAAACTACGGATGTAGAGTTCAGGATTACAGATTTAAGATTTCGTGTAGTTTCATGTAGTGTCCAGTTCAGCACAAAACGCACACCTCCCCAAGTTCTGCTCTTCTATAAAAACCGGCATATTCTTAGCACAGGCTGAACAGATGCGCATTGCGAGCACTTCATCCAGAGTCTCTTTCCTAGCCCTGAAAGCTCTCCGAAGGTGGGGACCATGTGGCTTGGTGTTTTGGTGTGCGTTTCTGGAGCTTTGTGCGGAGGATAAGAGCTTAAGCCGTTGCTAAATATTACCGAAACCCTATACCCTAAACCCTAAAAAACCAAACACCGTCAAGAAGGAAGCCCCGAAACCCGCAAACCATCATGAGCAAGAAGCCTCCTGAAGCGACGATCGGAACGGCGCATTTGCCCAGTCGCTTTCTAAGAAGAGCAGATCACCTGCCTGAAGGTGAACCGTGCTTGAGGGATGATCACTGGCTGTAGGAATTGGTTCCGCCAGAGAGAAGGTTCGTTTCGAACTTCTCTGGCGCCTCTAGGAATAGAGTGGGGGGTTTAGGGGTTTATGATTTAGGGGTTTAGGGTTTAGGGTTCTGGAGCCTCAACCAAAAGCTATGGCCAACAAAAACGCGCCAAAGTCCTCGGCATGTCAGGCAATCTATCTATTCAAACGAGTCTTTCTGCTGAAAAAAGTCCGAAGTGAAAAAGATCACGGCTTCTGCAAGGCACTTCTCGATGTCTGCGCGCTTAAACGACCCGGCACCCTCTGAACCCTAAGACAAAGCTTACGACACAGCTTTGTGGTTGTAAGGGCGCTGCCAACCCCATGGCCGACTCTGCGATGACGAAGTCTATCTGCCGCAGGAGCTCAGCTTTGGCCTGAAGGTCTAGTGTATAGAATCCTGAACCCTACCTACTACCTATAGGCTCCAGCATAGTTCCTTTTTGTGGTTTATATTTAGGATCCTATAAGCTAAGCCCAAACAGGAACTACTATGGAGCCTATGGGCAGACCCTAGTGAACCTGCCTTTTTCCCTTGTGCCCCCAAAACGTGGTATATGGTCCCTACTAATGGGTATTTCAGGTCTATCAACAGCGTAGATGGAGGCTCTTGGCTACATAAGCACGAAATCATAATCAGGAAACCTAAGCCAGGTAAACCCTAAATTCTACCGTGTTTAACTTGCGGCGGAGGGTTGGTGAAATCGGGTTTTCCCGGTGCTCCCGGGTAAGTTAACTCAAGCCGTTCTGAGGAGTCTCCCTGAACCCCCCTGAGCAGGGACTGCAATGCACTAAGCCCTAAACCCCCCAAACCCCTAAACCCCTAAACCCTCAACCCGGGAATGGCAGCCTCGCTTCTTTATTCGTGTTCACGCGAAGCTCAATCGATCCCAGTCCGGTTCCAGCTATTTGTTTGTTGGAATCTACAGGTGGGGAGTTTAGATTATATAGGGCTTCTATAAGGCTTCTATAAGGTATATAGACCTTCTATATGGCTCCTATAACGGTAACTACCAACCTGAAAATGTCCTAGAATTTGGGCCCGGATAACAGGCACCCCTTCGTCCAGTTGTACTCTCAAAGCCTCAATCCCCGGAGCCTCTGCCCAGGCACCAAATTCCCAGCACCTCTGGATAGCCCTAAACCCGAAACCCTTTACCCTTTACCCTTTACCCTAAACCCTCTACCCTAAACCCTAAACCCTTGCCCTAAGCCCTAAACCCTATACCCTAAACCCCGACTCAGAAAGCCCTCGCTTGCATCCCCCAGCACCAGCAGATGTCCCTCAAACAGCGGCGCAAGTGACGAAAAAGACTCCCTAAGTGTCAAGAATGGTCTTCGGGCTTAGGGTTGTAGGGTTCGTAGGGATATTTAGGGCTTCGGGAAATAAGGGGGTTTGAGGGTTTAGTTTAGGGCTTAGGGCTCATAGGGGTGTAACAACGTCAAACCTGAGAAGAGTCAGAATTATAAGACCAACAAATGTCGACATGCGCACTGATCCTTCGAGCCTCTTCTCGACCCAAAAGCGAAATATATAAGCTGCTTAACAACTCACACCCTAAAGGTTATGTTTCATTGCAACGAAATTCTCGAAATAAATGATCATTCCCACAGCGACACCAGAATCAGAAATCATACCCTTACCCTTTACCCTCGAACCCTGAAGCTTTAAAGCTCTACACATCCCTAAATACCCTAAAGCCCAAACCTTCAAACCCGATTTGCATCTCTAACCCCTAAACCCTAATCATCCTTAAACTCGCTTTTGAGGAGGGGCTGCGGTGCGCGTGCCCTCATGCCGGCCTCACCTCGAAGCTTGAGCTTAAACCCCTCAACCCTCAATCTTTAGGGCGAGGCCTTCTCGGTCTTGAACTCAAGCGCGGCTTCGTCGTCGATAAGGGGAGAGGCTGCTTTGGCAGGCTCCTCACAACTCGGGCTAGCCAGGCGATTGTCAGGCGCGCGTCGGTGTGAAACAAAACTAAGTAAGGCCTCCCGTTACTCGCACTATGCAAGGAGCAACCGCAGGCGATACAGCTTCAAAAGAAACCGAAGCTCAAACAGCTGAGAAAGATCGGACACGATTCAGGGCTTTAGGGTTTTGGGTTGCGAGGCATGTAATTCAGAGCTGTTTTGTCACCAGGGCGCAGGAAAGGGGACAGAAGGGGCAAAGGAAAGCGGGGCAAGCAGCACTTCCGTATACAGCCCGCTATCTTTCGTTTCGTAGTCTAGGTCGAAAGGGTGTTGCCTTATGCCTTAAAGCCTCGAGGCCTAAGCCTAAGCTCCGAAAGCCTCTGAGACCGGTGAGGGTTTGGGGGTTTCAAGCCCTTCATGGAAACTCGCTTTAGAGTTTAAGGTTTCTGACTAGGGGCCCCCCATTCTATGAATCAAAGAGCCCTCAAAATCCGAACCGACCAATGCTCCTGCGCTGAGAAGCCCATCTCTGCAGGGATGTTGCTACGCCTGGATAGGAAGTGCTGGGAAATCCGAAGGAGGTGCTTCGGCCCTGGAAAGCTGAAAGGCCACTCGACAACTTCTTGGGTTTAGGGGGTTTAAGGGGGCTCTGGGCACGGGTGCCAGTTCGTCTTCTACTCAGCATGTCGAGGTCCCGCCCCAGCCACCCGAAGAGGAATCATCAGAAGCACGAGTTCGCGTTCTAGATTCTAGCTATAGTCTCCATCTTTTTTGATTTTATTAACTATATGTGTAGGATCTTACAAGGTAACCCCAAAGAGGAACTAGAATGGAGACTATAGGTCCTAGGTAGTCTGCGCACGAAACCTATCTGAGCACAGCATCTAAGCAGAAGCGCCTGGTTGGCCCGGGCAAACTCAGCTTTGCGTAGTCCTTCTCGCTGAGCCGCGTCCTTGCTTCAAGGCTCATGGTTGCACACAACTAGTGTTCTAATAAAGCTATTGGTATAACGTAGGCAAGAAAACCGCGCCTGCCGCCAGGCACGCCTTAATGACTGGAGCCCTAACCACACCGACTTAACTGCACAAAACCCTACCAAGTTGACCTTTCCCCCACCGAATCCTAGATGCCACAACGTCAACTTGTAGGATCTGGGAAGTAACGTCCTGGGCTTCAGGTATGGCACCTTCTTCCCGTGGTCCTTGGCATCAGTAGAGGCTCGTAGGGTTCAGGGGTTAACTGCACCTTCATTAAACCCTGAACAACGTAGAATTATCATGTGATCTACTTATTCTCTGCTTGCCAGCTCTTGTTTATCATAGTTGTCGCATACTCATTCAGGCTCCGTACCGAAAGATGCGTGCGACCTCGTTTACGTGTGATCCAAAAGCGCAAAAGACAGGAAGGGAGCGCACGCTTTTGGTTCCTTGTACACCAAAATCATCGCTGGTGGAATGCTCTGGCTGCTTGAATAAAGTCTTAATTTAAAGCTTTTTTGTGTTTCTCTTGATTCATTGCGCCACAGCTTTTTGTTGGCTTTGTGTTTCGGGTTGATGGTTTCCGCTCAGCATTTCCGGCTCTAGGGTTCTGGCGTGGGAGAAGGGGGTTCAGGGTTTAGGGTTTATAGGGGTTTATAGGGGTTTAGGGTTTAGGGTTTGGTGAAATACGTAGGTCTAACCCATGGAAAAGGTATCCCGAAACGATGTACTCGAGTTCAATGGAACGTACCAGTCCCAACAGCCAGTACGTTGGAATGCAGGCTGGCGGTGTCAGAGGGCAAGGATCACCAATAGTGTCAAATCTTCCGGACGAGTAATTAGGTGTAGAAAGAGCCATCCCATGCCGCTCTTGCATCCCGGCTTCCACGATCGACATCATCTGTGGTAAGAGATAGCCATCTTTGCCGTCATCCGAAAAAGGATCAAACAGCTTCGCGCCGACGTCGCCCTGAAGAAGTGCCGGCCTCACTACATGGCGGAGGAAGACGAGGAGGTTTTGAATTTTGGGGCATACGATAAGCGGGAATTGAAAACACGTGATCCTTTATATTTGGTTAGATTAACCCCAGCTTGCGCTTCAGTCTCACCACCTACACCCAAAACCTTGCAGAATGAACCCACAAAAAAATCATCAAAAAAATCCTGGGGGAGGGTGTTCTGATTCAGGATTCCCTTTTAAGACTCATACGTTCATAATCTTAGTTCATGACTGAAATATCCGAAACGGGACCCGGATTTACGGCAACCGCCCCCCCGCCACGAGCCCAGCAAACCGCCAGCAGGTTAGAACCTTCATCACAGAAACTAGTGAACTAATGCCCGACATTGAAACGCTTCTACTAAGTAAGGGTAATCAGAACGAATGTCTCAGTCGAGTCTGGTGTGGACTCGCCGGACGTATGAGTGTAGCCCATACCCCAGAAAACATTCGCAGGCGGAAGAGACCCAAACTGTGCACCAGAAACCTTAACATATCGCAAACTCTATATCTAGAGCGGAACAGGAACAAGACAGAACACTAGCCAGAAGCGGGCCCCAAGACGGAAGTTTTTTTTTGAATCACAGCTACGCCAGAGCCCTACACCTGCATTACATTATCCCGGACCCGCCCTTCTACCCCTACTCCATCCCACTCTTGGGAGACTCTGCAGGTATGTAATTCGGACTGATCGCCCAGACCCCAGTCTAGCCCCCTCCCCCCGCCCCCCACCTCCCCTAAACCCGGAACCGAAACCCTAAAACCTAAACCTCAATACCTATAGTAATTTAAACCCTATAGTCTTCGCGGCCTTTGATCACAACTGCTGGCTTTTGATCAAAACTCGCGGCTTTTGATCAAACCTCGTGGCTTTTGATCAAAATTCGTGGCTTTTGATCAAAACTCCTGGCTTTTGATCAAGACTCCTGGCTTTTGAACATAATTTGTGGCTTTTGATCAGTTATCAAAACTCGTGGCTTTTAATCAAAACTGGCGGCGTTCGATCAAAACTCGCGGCTTTTGATTAAAACTCGCGGGCTTGGGGCTGGCCTTGAGGGTTCAAGGTTTAAGGCTCTGGGCTGGCCTTTAGGTTTCAGGGTTTAGGGCTGGGGAATGGCGGGAAGAAGCCCTTAGATTTGGGAATTACATTGTTTGAATTGAGACGGTGTGATTGCGGTCGATTGTTTGATGATATGTCTAAAGTTGTGTATTGAATTCAATCTGAAACAACTAAAAGTGTTATTTTTTAACGTGGGGGGATTCTATGGGCGGGTGGAGCTTATTCTTGAGAATAACTTGAAAGGAAATTCTTCAAAGTCAGAGCTGCTGAACCCTAAACCCTAAACCCTAAAACCCAAGCCTAAAACCCTAAACCCTTTTTTTTCACAAACCCTAAACCCTAAAACCCTAAACCCTTAAACCCTAAAGCCCTAAAACCCTAAAACCCTAAACCCTAAACCATAAAACCCTAAAGCCCTAAACCGGGGTTTAGGGTTTAAGTTTAGGGCTTCCTCCAAGCGGCTGCAGGTCCAGGTTCTCGCAGAGCTTCGCCGTCGCCTCGAGATCCTTTCGCTCAGAGTCTCGGACCGGACTTTGCATTCTAGGGTTTAGGGTTTAAGAGTTTTAGGGTTTAGGGTATAGGGTTTTCGGGTTTAATTTTTTTTTAAGGGTTTTTAGGGTTTTCAGGGTTTTTTGGGGGCGTTTAGGGTTTTTAGGCTTCTTAGGGCTTGTAGGGTTTAGGCTTTAAAGGAACCCTGGGTCTTTATTAGAGTTCCTTCATATGAATCCTTGTATGTTTGGGGGTGAGAGGGCCAGGGCTTCTTCATCAGGTTCCTACAGTATGGGCTTTTGTTTAGGTTGGGCCTGGGTTATAAACAGCCGAACCCATGAGCTGCTTTTCGCTCGAAACCAGGCCTGTTGGTTTAGGGCTCAGGGTTTTTCCCTCCTACTTAGCAAGGACTAGGGTTTAGGGCTTAGGGTTTAGCTTTTAAACCCTCAAATCGAGACCTTAAACTCTCAACCCAAAAAGTATCTAATCTCAAAGTCGACGACCCAAACCCCAAGCCCCAACCCCTAAACCCGAATTCGCCCCAAACCCCAAGCCCTAAACCACAAACCCAAATTCAAGAGGTCCTTTCCGGCGATGCAAACCGGAAGCTTCCCGGGCAGGCCGAACTTCTCGATGCAGTTTAAGCCCTGGCCTGCGCTTTGCAGAAAGGGTCCTTACGGTTCTTTTGCCTCCCGCTTGGCTAGGGCGAACCTACGATGCAGGGTCCTGGCGATTTAGGGCTGAGGGTTTACGGCTAAAGGCTTAGGGTGTTACGAGGGGTTCAGAGCTATGCGGTTTAGGGCTTGGCTTGGGGGCTTCGATTTGCATAGTTTCTTGATTGCCGCCCTGCTGCCAATCTGTTCCAGAAGAGCTTTTAACTAACGAAGCTTCTGGTTTTGGTGCCTGGAGAGGAGTAGTAAACAAAGGCTAAAGGGGACCTACGCAGACCCCTGGTGGTAGAGCATGGTGTAGTGTAGGGCCGAGGACGAAACTTAGGAATCCTTGTAACGTAAGAGTCATACTACAGTTTGGACTCCTGTTTACCAATACCTATAGACCTTACCCTACACCCTAAACTAAACCCTAAACCCTAAACCCTTACCCTACATACTCAGCTGTAAACCCTGCACCTCAACTCTAAGTCTCACCCGGCACGCACCTGGAAGCTCCGCCACGGCATTCTCCCTGAGCTTTTCCCTGAGCGCACCTGAGGATCTCTTGGAGAGGAGGCAAGGGATGAGAAGCCGACTTAGGTTCAGGGCAGGTTGTTTTTTTTTCAGGGCAGGGTTTAGGGTTTAGGGTTTGTGGTTTAGGGTTTAGAGTTTGGGGTTTAGGGTTTGGGGCTTCGGGGGTCAGGGTTCGGGGTTTAGGGTTTAGAGATGAATAGGGCGCTTTGTGTTCAGGGTTGGGCGGATGCCTCAAGCCCTAAATCCTGCAGCCCAAGCCTCAAGTTGCAGATGAAGCCCCTAAATGTTACAGCATATGATATTTCTATTAGCAATAAAAACCAGGACCATGACAACAGAAGAGGTCTCGAGGGCGATGGCAGTACGCCTATATTACATTCCAGCCTCTTGACACTTTCAGAGGAGCCCTCAGCTAAACGGGATGTATGGGGTTCCCGGGTTCAATCCTTAACCTTTTGCGACGACCTAGAATCCGGGGGCTTAGATTATCAGGGCTGTACACATCTTAGGCCTAAAACCTCAATTTATCATGTACTTGGCGAACTTTGTCCTTATTTGATTGTTTTTTGATATCATTTGCTTTTATTTGTCACTATTTGTTGTTAAAGTCTTTAGTTTGATCATGTTTGTTTTTTATAAGATTGATTCAAAAGTGCTGGTGACAATACACATTACGGCACCAACCCGCCAACCGGGAAATCCAACTAAATATCAATATATTTGCACATACATACATACATGCATACATGCATACATACACACATACACGCATACACGCATACATGCATGCATGCATGCATGCATGCATACATACATACATACATACATACATACATATATGCAGTAACATTAATCATATGTCATATGTCCTTCTGTATGTCTCCCTCTCCCTCTCTGTCCCTATCTTCCTCTTTCTCTCTATCTCTTGCTTGCTTGCTTGCTTGCTTGGGGTTTGGGGCCAACGACCCCCGGCCCGTAGGCCAACCCCTCGCGGCTCGCGTCTGTTCGTCTTCCTGGCCCCTATTCAATCGGGGACAAGGAGACGTGTTCCTCCAAGTGGACATATTGTGAATCCCCCCGAAAAACACCCCTCCTAAGACCCTGACCAGTAAAAATCCCCCGTTATGTCACACTTGGGTCATCCACTCTCTCAACTACATAGCTGCCGGAAGCTCCACTCTTGCAAGGCAGTGTCCGTTCCGTTGGCTGTCCCTCTTTAGGCCTATAAACTCGCAGGACTTGCATAAAACACAGGACTTCTCAGGCAGCCTTCTACTCGGAACGGTGCGAGCACTTTACCGGCTTATCCCGAACTACCTGCCTCCCCACCTGATCCCGAACAAAACCTCACGGCCTCTCTCTCCCTCTATCTCTATCTCTCTCTCTCTCTCTCTCTCTGTATATATATATATCTATCTATCTATCTATCTGTCTATCTAGCTATCTATCTATCTTTCTATCTATCTCTCTCTCTCTCTCTCTCTGTCTCTGTCTCTCTACTTGTCCCCGCGCCCCCTAAAGCCTCACACTCTACCAGAGAAGCCAAGAGTCCGCCCTGGAGGCTCAAGCCGGAGAGCCTCGAAGCACCACGGCAACAATGCGGGCTCGGAAACTGGAGGGCTCCGAATCTGGCTTCAGGCTTTCAAACGTCGATATCGGAGTAGGTGTACTGTAAAGGTTTATAAACCTAAACCCAAAACCAAAATAAAACTGCCCTACTTTAAAGGTTTAACACACTCTCTACAAGCCCTAAACGTTGGTTCCAGGATTAATCCTAAGCCCGGCAGTCTGGAAAACCCTGGGTTGCGAATGCTCCCAACGAAAACCCTACTGTAGGGGCCTTAATAACTAGAATAGGGCTTTGGGCTCCTCAATGCGATAATTATAATAAGGAGCCCTGAGGAATACTTGTATCTAGGCTTCTACATTAACTAAACCATCCTAAACCCTAAACCCAAGGTTCGGAGTCTCGTCAAGGGTTCGAGGTTTGAGTTATAGGCAACCCTGGACCAAAAGCGGTCCGTGAACAAGCATCCCGAAAACAAGAAAGGCCGACACCGGTTTTGGATCAACACGAACAATTTTCACACTCAGTCAGGCAAGCCCTTCTATCCCAAAAGGTCCTACGTGCCCATATGGGGGCTACGTAACCAAAACACAATAGTAATTCCTACTATAGAAAAACATGAAAACCACACTTCACACTATATACATACCTAGGACCCTTCGGGTATACCCTTCTCTTTTGCAACAGGCTTTCCACCCTAAATCCCGAACCCTAAACCCCAACCCCTAAATCCCGAACCCTAAACCTCAACCCCTAAATCCCGAACCCTCAACCCTAACCTCTAAATCCCCTAAACCCTAAATCCCGAACCCTAAATCCCGAACCCTAACCCCTAAACCCTAAATCCCGAACCCTAACCCCTAAACCCTAAATCCCGAACCCTAAATACCATCTCCACCGGGCCGAGGGGCTCCTCCAGTTGCCCGGCGGGCAGCAGGAAGTCGCGCAACCCACCGGTGGAGATGCGTAGCAGCACCTCCTGTGCGCCCTTCAGGCTTCCGGGCTTAGGGTTTAGGGCTTACGGTTTAGGGTTTGGGGTTCTAGGGTTTAGAGTTTAGGGGTTTGGGTTGGGGCTCTGGGCCGCAACTTAACTTCGATTGGGGGGCTTCCTTCTGGAGTTTGCAAGAAAGCATCACGAAAGCTCTGACGGGTCTCGATTCTGAGAGAAATTGGCACCTATGAGGAGCCGGTTGGAATGTCTCGGTGCTGACCGAGACATAAGGCAAATTTGCGTCTAGATGCATGTAGCCATGTATGTGTACATACCTAGACGGATGATGGGAGATGCGTTGATCGTGACAAGCTTTAAGCTTGTGTGATTTACCAGTATGTGTTTATGTAGATCGAAAGCTGGATGAACGACGGGATAAGTGGATGGATGATGGGTTGACGGGGAAGTTGGGCGAGAACTTCCTAGGGTCGTCTCGCAGGCTCCGAAGGACCAAGTCCAACGAGATCCAAGCTTTAATTCCCACCCTTTCCAGATGCCTGTTCAGGGTGGGCAGGCCTGGCAAATCCATACCGTCGCATCTATCCCCTTTCAAAAGTTCATCGCATCGACGTACATCCGTCGTGCACACGGTTTGTAGCGCGGGCTATGTCCCTAAACCCTAAACTTGGCCCTAAACCCTAAACCCTATAACGCTGAGCGAAATTCAAACGCGAAGTGACGTCGACTGCCCAAAGGTGGCCTCCTTGAGAACCTGAGCTTTGCCAGCCCCGTTCACCACCGGCGGCCTGAGGGGTCCAAAAGCTGGAATATAGATAAATATATAAATAAAAAATGGATAAATAAATAAATATATATATATATAGGTATACATATATTTGAGAGCAAACTATATAGTTTAGGGTCTTATGTTTTAGGCTTTAGGGTTCGTACCATGACATGATAATAGATGTGATACGGCACAGTAAAGTAGAGCGCCAACTTGGGGCGTGCTTCGGGCTCGATGGGTGTGGAGTTCATGGCCGATGGGCTTTGATTTGAGATTCGTAAGATTCCACGTCGGCTCCAACTGGGCGAATTTGAACTGCTTCGCTTTGGTGCCCTGCTCGATGCTGTACAGATATGTAGAGAGTAGAAGCTTATAAGGTTCGGGGAACATGTGCCACCTTTCATAGCGAAACAATTTAAACACACATAACATGCAGCATATTGTAGCAATACCAATGTAAAAAGCATCAGAGCGCATCATGCCCTGTTTGTAACCCCTTTTTGGACCTGAACCTCGACTCCAGACCTGGCTTGGCACGGCGAGACCTTCTTTCGTCCGCATGCGCTCGGTCTTCCCAGCAATGCTGGGTCGCACTATGCAGGAGAAAAATCTTAAGTCCCCTGTCGCTCAGCTCAGCGGAAGCCAACAGCCGCCTGCCACAGGAAGGCCAGCAGGAAGAAGAACACGGGCAGGATCGGCAGCACGTCCACGATGGGCGCAAAGATCACGAACTCCTCCGGAAGCCGGGCATGCGCCGCTTCGGGGGCAGTCAGCACTGCGCCTGCGGCGGCCAGCTTGGCCATGTCCTGGGTCTGATGGGTGACCTCACTGTCTCTGGGGCTAACGAAGGCAGCTTGGAGCGCCAGCAGCGCACAGACTGCGGCGGCGAGGATCAGCAGACTGGAGGAACGGCGGGCCATGATTCGGGACGCGTGAGCTCAGCACTGGACAGGAGTGGGCCAGTCAAAAGCAGGCTTAAGCCGAACTGGCTGCCGCGAACTTTTTGTAGATTATATTGCATACTTATAGTCTAGCATTATTGGATGGATTGGTCATATACCCATGGTACCATTCAGTGAACGACAAAGATACATCGAAGTGAAAAAGGAACTTAGTTCAAGCTTTTGGGCGCCCGGGAGTCCAAAGGCCCTCCTTAACGCGACTGGCTCCAAATCCACCGAACCCCCAGCGCGCTGAACGCCGTAGTTCTACCAGCATGTGCCTCGAGAACAGCGGTTGCACAGCGGTTGCAGCTGCTCCTACTACAGTATGTCGTTCATACTACTCCGTGCTTACATGGGGAAGAAACTATGTTGTTGGCAGGGACACATCTTGACAATGCCCGAGTTGCGCTTGTCTGCTTGTGCCCTTTGGATCCGCTAGCCGCGGCACATGCAGTCCGGGCCACATGCACCTGTGAGTCTTGGGGTTTTGGGGCTTAAGGGTTTAGGATTTCAGGATTTGGGGTTTTAGGGTTGAGGGTTTTAGAAGAAAGGGAAGGCAAAGCAAACCACGCACCTAAGCATTCATTCGCCAGCTATGATAGGGCTTCAGAAGAAGTTGGTTTTCTGCATTGGGGGTGAAGGCTTCAGAGGGGCTCACAGGTTTTCGGGAATCCGGAAAGAACCACTAGCTGTTTTCGCTTCATGACAGCAGGGCCTGCAGGGCACAAGGCCATTCATATTATGCTGCACAACTTTCCGAGTGCAGCCCCTGTGGGACGAATGTAACTAACCGCATCGAAGCGTCCGGTCCAAAAACTGGCCTACTGCCAAGGCCAAGCCACTAGATGGATCGTGATGCCCACGTGCTGCCCGACATGGATCTTAAGAGAAAAGCCAGAAGCTGCGGCACAAGTCTGAAAGACACTCCGATACTGCGTCTTGGCTTCTTCGCTCCTTCTACGTCACCACTGAACAAATCCCTGAACAGACTCTGTGCACACGTTACAAACAAACACTGTAAGCTGCTAGTGTTAAGCTATTAATGTATGTACTCCATTCCGCCGATGATACCATGTACCGGTCGAGTGCGATAAAAGAGTGATAAAAGCCAACCGCATATGAAAGGCAACAGTAAGAACGATATCAATATTTATGCCAGCAGCGTTTCCAACAATGATGACACAGACCATGTAGGTGTTAATCAGTAGAGGGCAGCAACTGGGCAGCCTGTAGAACACAAGTGAGGGTATGTGTGGACATTGGGCTGCACGGTATGCAAAACAGTTTTGTGTGCGTGTGTGCCAAAACGCAGCATGCAAGTTCGACAAGTTAAGGCACAAATAACACTGACACGCAACATGCAGCCTTAGCCATCTGACATGTGCATACTGCATTTAAGACAAGATCGTGGAGCAGGCCAGAAAGCAAAGTATAACATGTAAGGAAGAAGCGAGTACCGTCAGGGACCACAGGCTCATGTTGCTCAATGTGTATGTGCGCATGCATGTACACGCACCTATGCCTGTAGACACACATGCAGAAGGAGCTTGGGAAGAAGCACCTGAAATGATGATACGAGACAGGGAGACGCATCTCAAGAGGGAAAAAGAGAGCGAGCGAGAGAGAGAGAGAGAGAGAGAGAGAGAGAGTGAGTGAGTACAATATTGTAGGCACAGAGAGGGTCTGTTGGCTGTGTTCACAGCCTAGCTGACTAGCCTAGGAAAGATGAACGCGCACGGTGCGTGTCCTCTTCCCGCCACTGCTTTAACCTTGGCAAAGAATACACAGCGACGTGAGCAGCGTTTTAAACCGAACCACTGACTTGCACATGTGCTTCCTCTGTAGTCGCACGTTGAAGGAGGCGGAAAGCTTCAATGTGTCAGAACTAACCGCACAACTGCCTCATTCTCTATACCGTCACTACCTCTAGACCAACATCCTCAAAATGTGCCGCGGCACGCACTCTGTCGTGTTGACATACACAAGCGTCGAACAGAAGGTCGACAATATAACGGCTATTGTCCATGGACTTCGTCTCTGCTAGAGCACGCTGAGATGCGTCCGATATTCTGTGCTTGTACACTCCAAACTCTGAACATGATCTTTTCAGTGTTCAGCAAAGCCCTGGGACTGACAGCCCGACCGAAGTATGGAAGCCACCGATCCTGAGCCCGCAGCGCGTCAAGCCGTCGCAGGAAGTCCAGGCGGAGCATCGCATGGTTGATGCGCAGCCGGTCCTCTGCAACCGCAAGGCTTTTCAAAAAGACATGTGCAAAGGATATTGTTGTGCAAAACCTCTGTCAGTCGCAGTATAGCTATGCTGCGGACTTGGTTTTCGGGAGAAAGCGCGACTCGCATGAACTCTCCCACTGCTTGGACCATCCGAGCCAGGTGTGATCTTCAAGTCGTCCAAATCTGTCATCCAAAACACAGGTCAGTTCGAGGTCGGCTTTAGGGAGTATTGACGTACTCCACTTTGGGTCGCGCAAGTCTACACGCCTTTTGCCTCGCTTACCACGCAGAAACCCCGGAAAATCAAGGCCCTGCGCTGCTCCTCAGTGTTGGAGATCCCCTGGCAATCCAATCGGAAGCGGTGAGGGATACTCCTTCCTAGTGTCGAGATAATCTAAGACCTATAGGACATAACAATTCTTCCTGCAGGGCCCATAGACTGTGTCTGATTGTGTCTGGTCTCGATGGGTTGCAGGCGGGAGGCTACCCCATAGGGACCAAACCCTTTTTGCATCCAGGACTCTCGCAACCAGCCGGGACCAAACCCTAAACCTTTAAACCCTAAACCCTAACAACACATGTCTCCCTGGAGTATTGATGGTTTCGCGTCTCATCCTACAGAAACCTCGGAAACCCTTCTGATAGAACTCTGATACATCCCTTAAAAAGCTTCACAAGGACCTGCACAAGGACCCCACAGGATAAGTAATGATCAGAATAGGGTTTTGCAGTATTTTACACCGTAACTACACTGAGGAACCCCCCAAATAGTCTTTTGTATAAGCAACCATTAAGGCCCCCTGATTATGAATGTGCAGCTTGTCGACTCTTCCCCCCGTTGCCGCTTCGGTTTTTTGTCGGCCCCTGAAGGCTCTTTGAGGTTTAGGGCTTTAGGGTTCCAGACCAGTACAGGAACCCTACATGAACTCCGAGCCTTTCTAAGAACCGTCAAATCCTAAACCCTAGGCCTAAACCCCTAAAAAATCCCTGAAGGGCACCCGTATCAAACTCGTTTCGGCACCTTCTGCTCCACTTCTTTCAGCGTGTCCATCAACCGCGTCTCGACCTCCGGGGCTTAGGCTTGATTTTTGTGGGTTCAGGGTTTAGGGATTAGGGAGGGTTAGGGTTCATAAGTTAAAGTTCACAGCACAGCAGATCCTATGACTCCAGCAGCCTACAAAGGTGGCAACTGGGTTGCATAGTGACCGACAGTCAAGGTATCTAAGGCCAGAAAATCACAACAAAAGCGACAACACAACCGTTTTTTCATAATATGGCGAAGGAAGGGGCTCCAGTTACCTAATCGTAAGTTACCACTCACATATAAATATATATATATATACATATATATATATATGTATGTATGCATATATATATATATATGTGAAACCTAATGCCCCAGTTACTAGTGATGCAGGCTAAAAGAACCTGGAAAGCGCGGTGTATACCCATAGTCTCCATGGCAGTTCTTTTGTGTGGATCATATTGAGGATCATATAAGGAAAACCCAAAAAATCCAAAAAGGAACTACAATGGAGCCTATGGATGCCTATGGGTAATCACACCCCGGATTGCAACGTTGATGAGATGGCGACTTGACTTGGCTTTCGTGGCCTGGACTTCCAGATCGCGACGCTCGTTGAAATTCTTAGCCACGTATGGACCTCAAGGTGCAGCAGCAAGTTGCGCACTCCGAATCTTTCGATGTTCCATCTTGATTTAAAAACCGCCTGATGCCTCGAACATATTCCGTTGGCCTTGCCTTGACTCACCCCATCGCTGTTAATACGGTGTCTTGCTGTGGACCATGGCACATAAAGCACAGGTTTGGCACTAACAAGGCGCAACCGGAAATGCTCTACCCGCTCTTCTCCAGCTGGATCTTCCGTGACACGTATTACTAAGAAAGACGTGCAAGAGCAAGACCATTTTTACATGATGGGACCTTTCTGCATTGCAGAGCATCAATCCAAGCCGAGCATCACTAGGCAAGCATCGATCTTCTGACTAAACCATGACACCTGCACAGCTGGGAGCTCCTTCAGCCAGTCTCCTGGCAGGTTTTGGTAGCCCAATCGGGCTCCGAGCAGCGCACCCGCCACAGCAGCATTGGAATCTGCATCCCCTGCCTCCATGGAAACCGCTTGGATGGCAGTCTTGAAATCGTCCATATGTAGGAAAGACCATGCCGCTGCTCCCAGGGGCTTGTAAGTGTAGCCGATGCCACCAGAACCTAGCTCAAGCGCACTGAGTCCATCGACAGCAACATCCACATAGCGCAAGAGCTCGTCGACGTCTCCTCCATCTAAATGCTCGCTTGCTTGCAGCGCCACTGACAATACCAGCTGTCTGCGTTGCTCAAGCGTTGCAGTGCTGTGTCCTGCGAGAAGTCGGGCCAAGATTAACGCGATGCAGACGCAGCTGGTCAAACACCTTGGGTCGGCATGCGTGACTGCTGCCGAAACAACCGCATTGTGACGAACGACCGCCTCATCCCAGAAACACCCCAAGGCGGCAGCTGCGCACCTCATTATGGCGCCGTTGGCTGCAAGGCTGCAACCAGTCTCACGCCAAACCACGTCAGCAGCTACACTCGGGGCGACATCGAAAGCCGCGTTCTCCAAGACAGACTTCACCGTCTGCCCGATCCCCAGGCCCGAGGAATCCCCTAACTCCGGGAAGCCGGAGCGCAACCAAGCTTTGAGGCCTTTTGCAAAGGTAGCCTCCTGCAAGACGCCGCTGCCAGCCACAATGGCATCTAAAAGTATGACCATCTGGTCGGTATCATCTGTCCAATCGCCCTGGACCCAGCGCTTCCGATGCCTGTCCTCAACCCGGGAGGCCGGACTCAGCTGTGCCGGGTAAGATCTTGCTGCCTCTGCTTTGTCCATGAACTCGGTGCTCAAGCCCACGGCGTCTCCCAAAGCACACCCCCACAAAAGGCCTTGGATTTTGTCCCGCAGCTCAGCAGTCGAAAGATCCGTGTGCACCCCAACGCAAACGGTCGGAGGATCTGCTGCAGGCACGGCACGAGCCAATGAAAGGTCCGGGACCTCGTAGTGGCCATTGATCAACACGTCAACCCCATCTCTTGCTGCCTGGCATATCTTGGCCATGGATGCTTCGTCTAACTTTGCGGCAGCCCCATCTAAACTGTAGCTGAAATCGGGGTGAAAGCTTGAATGCTGTAAAATCGGCAGCAAGCTCTCCAAACGATGCTTCACTTCCGGTGCCGTCCGGATCAATGTCCCCACCTCGGCACGTCCCAAGTAGCCGTCATCCGTGGCATTCCAAAGCGTCACGACCGCCATCTCCGAGAACCGTGCTTCCATCTTGCAGTCCCGGGTGTTGCTTACCAAGAAAGCTTGCAAGCTCTCAGCAGACTCCATGTCCGAGAGGTCCATGCGCTCGAAGCCATCGTCGTAGAGGAAAGCCACATCGGTAATGCTTGCCTGGTGAACGCCCAAGACTTCTGCTAACAATTCCGGCACCTCGTCAGGGCGTGCCCCCGTCAAGTCTACGTATGTCGACTGAGGTTCGAAAGGGTCACCAACTTCGGCAACAGTGACTGGCACTTCGAGCCGTTGGCTGTATCGTTGGAAGAACTCTCGCAATCTCTCGAGTTCTGTGCCCATCACATTCAAGCCATTACCATCGGGCCCGGTGCCGAAAAAACTGTCCACCGTGTTCCCGTACAGGATATGGGCACCATCTACAATGCTGAGAAGCACATTGCCTGGTTTGCAAATTACGCACAAAAGTTCGGTATGTTCCGGTCGTTGAAATTGAAACGCGTTGAAATCAAAAGGCCACCCACCCCAGACCGTTTGCTTAACAGCCGCTGTACCAACAACTAACAACAAATATGAATCATGGTCCCCATCGTACCGTATGTCTTGGTCTTAATCATAATACGAATAATCATGGAAAGAGCAACATTCTACTAAACAGTAAAATATACAATTGAAAACAAGAAGTTGCGTGGCTCCACATGAGCCCAAAGCTTCTCACGCAAGGCCCGTCGGAGGCGGTTGGCTTTCACATCGTCCCAGTCAGCTCGCAGAGGGCCTAAGGTCCGCCCCAAATGTTTAGCGATTCCTGGCTCCGGGGCTCGGCGAACCTGTTCCTGCAGTTCCGGATCAGAGAACTTCCCGGCCTGAAAATAATGCTCGGCACTGGGCCACCATTTGCGCATTCGGGCTGTGGTATCCAAAGCCCAGAACCCGTAGCCTTGCGCAAAGTTTTGGAGGCAACTGAACCGAACGTCGGCCAAAATGTCGACGGAGGAAGGTGCAGCGGCCATCACGTTCAAACGTCTACTTGTCGCACTGAGGCAAAGCAAAACAAAATTCTGTGATTACTTACGGGCATGAAGAACTGCTTACCGACGCTTGCTTTGAGCCTTCACAGCTTCTCATGCCAACCTAACAATTTCCCAGACAAAGTCCCTACTCTGCGTCGAAGCGGGATCGGTGTGGCATGCATGGCCACCATACATCTGGCGAAGCGAGCTCTGCAATTCCTTCGCCCGGGTTGCCGGCCAAGCCCCTCTGCCAATATCAGTTTGATGCCCTGGCAGCAAAGGTTCTTCATTGCACGGTGGTTCCATGCCCGAAAAGCTAACGGTCTAACTTCTGCATCTGTTGGTAACCCCGATCGAGAAACTGAAACGTGCGAGCCTTTTGCCCGGCGACGCCGTCGAAAGCATCCTCACCTCGACGGCACACAGTGCACACTCGAGGCCCCCTGAGCCGAGAGCTTTGACCACATGCCAGGCAGTGCCAAACCAGATGCAAAACAAAACACACAAGTGCATCGGCGCCTCCAGCCCGACGCCTGCGATTTGGCCGGGAATTCTGTTGTGTGGCCAGGGCTTGCGCTTGGTATTCAAGATGATCTTAATATCTTAGAACTAAAAATGAGCTCACATACTTTTCGGATTCGCTACCGTAAATTCAACTAACTGCTGAACCTTGCCATCTATGCTGCAAGCTTGGCTGCACCGGAGCCGTGAACCCTTGAAAACACTCCCGGGTCCCTCACCTTGCAATACTGCTTCAAAATATAATAATGACGATGATATGAATAGTAACAATACTTATACTAATAATACTTGTAATCGTAATAGTCACAGATAATAATGGATATTAAAAACGGTATGCGTAACAAGACTAGCAGTAACAATAGCAATTGTAATTGTAATAGTAATTGTAATAGTAGTAATAATGGCAATAGTAATCGCAATAGTAATAATTATGATAATTGTAATAGTAACAAAAACAATGGTAATAATGGTCCAAATAATAATTGAAACGCGATAATCTGGATCATGATAACAACAACAATAATAACAACAACACTAATGGTAACAGCAATAATAATAGCAAAAGCAATGGTAACAGCAACCATAATACCAAAAATAATAATACAAACAATAGTTGTAATAATAATGCGAACATGAACAATAATAGCCAAAAGTATTAACAATACGAAAAGTAAAAACAAAAATACTAATAATCATGAAACTAATAATGATACAAAAATTATAAATAATTGAAATCGTAAGCGTAACCGTCATCGTACCAGTTGTGGTAAGTAATACTGATATACAAAAACACTAATAACAACAGTACTACTAATCGTCATTAGATTAATACGAATAGGAATCAGACGAACGCAGGTAATAAAAATAGTATCAAACAAAAAATTGAAAAAAGTAAATGGCAACAATAGAAATAATGATAATCGCAACCGAAAAAAATCAGAACGGGAATAACAACAACAAGAACAAGAACAACAATAATGATAATAGCAGGGGCTTCCAGCAACAGCAAAAGCAGTACTAGTACTACTAGTCGTAGTAGTCGTCATCGTCGCCGTCGTCGTCGTAGTCGTCGTCGTCGTAGTAGTAGTAGTAGTACTAGTAGTAGTGGTAGTAGTCGTCGTCGTCGTAGTAGTAGTAATAGTAGTAGCAGTAGCAGTAGTAGTAGTAGTAGTAGTAGTAGTAGTAGTAGTAGTAGTGGGTTATTCTACTACTGTCATTGCCATTATTCT